AAATGATGATTTGTGTTCAAGTTGGGGTTTTTTCCCCAAGAGAAGTTCCTCCTTCATCAGTTATTTGATTTTATCAAAAGACAGCTCTGTTGACCAATGAGGCTCCTGCAGCGTTGTGTGCACCAGATCATCAGAGTAGAGGAGGAACAGGGAGAGGAAACGTGTCATTGACACTTTCTAGAACCGCGAGTGGTTGCTTCACACCGACTGACAAGAATCAGTTCTGCTGGGGACTGAACCCACCTCAACGACCTTTGACCATTCACCAGTAGGTTAAATGTGTGTTTTTGTTAGAAGAAGCGGACATCAACATGCAACATCAATACCGTTGCTCTTCCAGCCGATCCCCACTGCAATATGTCAGCACACGTCATGGGGATATTTTGGCTTCATCTTTATTCAACAGGAGGAGGTTGAGGCACATCCATTTTTATTATGGTCATTATGGTTAAAAAAGGCGTGAGAGCCGAGAGGGTCAAATCTATGAAAAGCACTGATGGCCTCACAGTGTAACACAGCTCTATTCCTTTAACATGTGTGTCTGTGTTTCAACCAGAGACAGAGAGACTGTGTGTGTGTGTTCCTGTGTTTATATCTTTGTGAGGACCAGTCTCAATTTTAACTGTCACTGTGAGGATATTTCAACTGCATTCAAGAACTTAATATTTTGAAGGTTCAGGGTTAATTTCTTAGGGATTAGGGATTGTGTTCAAAATAGGGACAGAGAGAACGAGTGAGAGACAGAGAGAGAGAGAGAGTTTGTGTGTGTGTCTCTGTGTGTTTTCCAATATTTGTGAGGACCAGTATCAGTCTTAACTGAGGACTATTACTACTACGTTCATAGGTTAGGGTTAGAAATGACAAAGACAGATACAGACAGTGTATGAACGTCTGTGAGTGTGTGTAAATGTGTGTGTGTGTGTGTGTGTGTGTGTGTGTGTGTGTGTGTGTAACTCCAACCTGGTCTGTTTTCTCCACACGTCCTTAATCTTCTGCTGCTTGATGGTTCTGGAGAATGGTGGTTGTGATCTTTGTCATGGGTTCTGGTCTCCTGTGTGAGATGAGATGTGTCATATCAGAAAGTCTGTTATCACGTCTGTTTTTATCTGAGAGTTTGTTATAATCTTTGTAGAGTTAAACTCTCTAAAAGCATCGCAGTGTGTGTATGCGTGTATGTATCTGCGTGTAATTTTCATCTGTTTGTCATGAAAAATGATTGCTGCCCCTAATTCACACATGTCCCCTCTTGGCGGGAAGTTTTCTCTCAGGAGGCAAAGACGGTGCAGTGGAGTCTGACTCTCTGATGACAGTCTTTACATCAACGTTTCAGGGTGTTCCACATATTCTCAAATACTGGGGAATAGAAAAGAGCATGACGCCGCTTCATTATGTGCACAAAGATCGTATCAGAGGCAAGATCTAAATGTCATTATCCCGTGAGAGTGGGGCCTCACCCTCGTTCAGACTTTGGGGTTTTAACCAGGAGGTGACCTGTGGCGGTCAAGCATTCATAGCGATGTCACATTTTGATCCTTTCAATGTCAGCTCTTTCTATCATTGTGAGGAAGAATTTACAGGAGTGTTGGATTGTTCCCCACTTACAGGGAACATGAGCCGCATGAGACAGCTCAACTTCATGCAGAAATTTTGATAAGGGACTTGCAGGAAAATGGCGGGCTTGTGTCCGTTTGCTTTCACACATGCATCACATATATAAAGAAGCAGCTCACTCTGAAAACTTCAGAAAGTCTTGAGGAGTTTTGTGCATGTGTGAAAACAGCATGTCTCTCTCTCTCTCTGTTTGTGTGTGTGTTGATCAGTTCACACATGAAGATGTGTGTTTCTCTATCAGGGTGAGTGAGACTTTCTGTGATTAACTGGAGTAAAACTTCATAAGTGTTTCAAACAGAAATAAATCGTGACATCATCACTGAAAAAAACCAACATTTTAATTAACAAAAATAACCACAGAAAGCTTGAGACTGCAGCCACACAACAAAAAAATGTAACATAAAACTCTGACACTCACCGGGACACGTCCTGGTCTCTGCTGGTCTCACGAGGTCTCTGCTGCTCTGATGTGGTGTCTGTATCAGGGATGAGGAGCGTCTGAGGTTTAAATAAAGGTTCAGGATATCTCCTCAGACTGTGTTTCTTATGAAGCCGAAGGACTCTCAGGCTGTACATTCCTCCGTAACCTTTTATGGTCAGTGGGGGGTGGGGCTTACATCATGGAGCATCCCCCCTGACATGAGTGATACGCTGACGTCAGAGGAGTGGAGTGGACCTGCAGAGTCTGAGAAAAGATGGAGGGAGAGGAGAGAGGGAGGGAAGGAGAAGGGGAGGTCAAGGGAGGAGGGGAAAGAAGAGGAAAGGGGGAGAAGGGAGGGAAAAAAGGAGAAAGGAGAAGAAAGAGTGAGAACAGAAAAGGAAAGAAAAAAAGAGAGTATGTGAGCGGAAAAACTTTGCAAATTTTCATATTTCTTCTAAATTTGGTATTTTTCTCATCAGGAGACGACTGAATGCTGTGAAATACTCAAAAAGCATGTGGAAACTATTATACTACGGGGGGGAGACGAAGAGGTAGAAACAGAGGGAGCGTACAGAGAGAGAGGGAATGGGAGAGAGACAGAAGAGAGAGAGGGGGAGGAAGAAAGGTGGGTGGGACTAACAATAAAGCAAGAAGCAAGCTGAAGTATGAAAAACTGAGACAACTGACAATTTCTAGTGTCCTCGTGAGGCTCTGCTCTAAGATATTCAATTCCAAAAGAGAAAAAAGACTGGTGTGCGCACATCCAAGCAAATTGCATATAGGTGCAGGACAAAAAATGTATAAACTGCAGAAAAAGGCGAAAGGTCCGCACACTGTTCAGCTCCCAATGAGCAACTTTATTAAGGGCAACATTTCAATCCAAAGGATTTTCTTCAGGCTTCATGTTCAGGCCACACTCCCCTTCGGAGATCCCCCTTAAGCTATCGTCTTTTTCACAAAAAACATTTTTGAATTCACATTGTCCCTGTTCTGTCTGTTGAACAGGCGATAATGATTGTTAGTGTTTGCCAAACTTTAGGAAAGACTGCTGGACTCCTGCCACATTCACCTGTAAAGGATCCTTTGGATTGAAACATTAATAGAGTTGCTCATTGGGAGCTGACCTTTCCCCGGACCTTTCTGCAGTTATTCAATTCCATTGACATGTTTCTCCTTTAAAAATATAAAACAAAAACAAGAGAGCATCAATTTAGTTTTCCTCAATTTATATAAATGAGCACATTTAACATTTTTCTTTCTTCAGACCAACATCAGCCTGAAGCAAGAATGAAACTCATTCAACATTTCTGGATGTTACTGCTAAAGCTGACGAGCCGGCAAGATGTGTGAGTGTGTGAGTGTAGAAGTGACCGGGGGGCAGGTAGACCGCCCCCCAACACACACACACACACACACACACACACACACACACACAGTGTCTGCTCTGTGTCTTAATAAGGTAATGTTTGAATGTTTGAATGTCTGAAGATGGTTCAGTGTTTACAGCAGCAGAGAAGAACTGACTATTAGTGATGTTAACCAAGCATGGACGGACACACACACACACACACACACACACACACACACACACACACACACACACACACACACACACACACACACACACACACACACACACACACACACACACAAACTAGCCTCTCAGTGTTTCCCTCATAAGGAGAAAAGTCTGAATCTTCCTCCAGCAGTTTCAGAGAAATAAATCCAAACTCTCCTGATTCTGTCATCAAAGTTTAAAGACTGTTCATAGCAGGAAATGTTAAAAAACTGTAACATTGAATCAGTGGCACCTGATTTCATTACATAACTTTTTGACCCGGTTCAACACTCGCCCGCCTCATTTCATTTCTCCTGAATCCTGTTTGTTCTGTGAAAACTGAAGAATCAATCACTGACCTTAGACCGCTCTTTAGTACAGTCGACACATTGAGTCTGATATATAATGTCAATCATCTATTAGGAAATGGGAAAACTTTATTGACACAGGTTATAGAGGACGAACATGAAAACTTCAAGAACTCAGTGTGAAGAGGACGAGGTCAGAGAGGAGCAGACTGAGTCTGTTCAGCGTCAGGAAGTCCACCAGGAGACACACTCTGGTTACTGTGTGTGTGTGTGTGTGTGTGTGTCTTTAACCTGTCACAGCAGGAAGAACAGTTCTGAGTGGATCCAGGTGTAAACAGCGTTCAGGTGTGTCTGCTCTTCTTCATCTCTGTTTAGAGTGTCGGGTCATTTCAGCAGTTTTAATCATTCAAGGATAAAATCCTCTAAAACATTCAGAGATCCTCGGATTTAAACTAATCAGCTGATGAGCAATTGATCAGAAAACCAATCACAGATCTCGTCACGATTGCTGATATCAATCAATCAATCAATCAATCAATCAATTTTTATTTGTATAGTGTCAACTCATAACAAGTGTTATCTCGAGACACTTTACAAAAAGCAGGTAAAATACCTTACTCTTTGTCTGTTAACATTACAAAAGAGCAGGTAAAAAGACCTTACTCATTGTTATGTTACAAAAAGCAGGTAAAAGACCTTACTCATTGTTATGTTACAAAAAGCAGGTAAAAGACCTTACTCATTGTTATGTTACAAAAAGCAGGTAAAAGACCTTACTCATTGTTATGTTACAAAAAGCAGGTAAAAGACCTTACTTATTGCTATGTTACAAAGACCCGGCCTATCCATCATGAGCACTTTAGCAAAGCAGCAAAAGTTACAGTGGTAAGAAAAAACTGCCTTATTAAAAGGCAGAAATCTTCAGGCTGGATCCCCGGCTCATGACGAAACAGTCTTCACAGGCCTAGGACGGGTTGGAAAGGGATAGGGGGAGAGATGGGATAAGATGCAGGAAGAGGGATAGGGAGCAAGGGGGTTGGGGGAGGCAAACCGTCCATCAACAATCCGGTGGGGAAGGGGAGGGGGTTGTTCTGGCAGGCCGTCAACCAAAGATCCGGTGGGGGGGGGTTGTTCTGGCAGGCCGTCAACCAACGATCTTGAGGAGCCTAAGAGAGCTCAAGAGCTCTCAGGAAAGTAGGTGGTTAGTGACTGAGATTTACAGATAGATACATGCAGTAATATGATGTACTGTATATGCACAGAGAGCGAGAGAGAGAGAGAGAGAGCGAGAGAGAGAGAGAGAGAGAGAGAGAGAGAGGAGCTCAAGGTGCCAGTTCCCCCGGTAGTCTAAGCCTATAGCAGCATAACTAAGAGCTGGTCTACACCAGCACTAACTATAAGATTTATCAAAAAGGAAAGTTTTTAAGTCTATTCTTAAAAATACAGACTGTGTCTGCCTCCCGGACCCCGGCTGGAAGGAGGTTCCAGAGGAGAGGAGCCCCATAACTGAAGGCTTTACCTCCCTATGATATAAAGTATTCATAATTATCTTCTTCTTGCTCTGACAGTTATGCTGATGACCTGTCACTGATCTAAAGCTCCGCCCCCTCACCTGAGAATTGCTGTTACTATATTGTACTTTTATTTTCCTTTTGTTTAGAAAGTGAACATCTGAGAGCAGAAAAAATGTGCTATTTTAACATCCAAATTAAGCTTTTTGGACCATTTTGAGATTAGATTATAAGAAACGGGGACCTTGTTTTGATACTAATTAGGACAGTGGAATAAGCCAACTCTGTTCTTCTTAACGTTTAGCAGCCTAAAGTAGTAACAACAAAGCAAAAATAGTTACTCTGGAAAAATTGACCTTTTAAAGAATATTAATTATGTAATTATTTGATTAAATGCATTAATGTGTCCCTCGTTTTGTTGTCACTCCTACATCTGGATCTAACCTAACCGAAATTGTTTTAATTTTCTTTATTTAAATACATGTAGCGGGATACCTTGTGAATTCCCAAGGCACAAAGATATTTTGACAAATAGTGAATGCCACACAAACGCAAAGTACACTCGTGTCAGAGGATTCAGATAACTGCATGTGAAGGTCTGTCACTAACCCCCAGTCTGCTCGACTTCTTTTTTGTCTGATTGACGCTGAATAAAAATATTACAATTGTGAAACTGATGGAAATCCGTCGTAGCAACGGAGAACTTTAATCCCTGAAAAGCGCTTTGAGTAGTCAGAAGACTAGAAAATAAATATACAAGTACAAGGGTCCTTACAGAACAGGAACACACAGGAAGCAGAACATTGTGCTCAGTCCTGATCAGAGGAAGAAAAGACGACAGACTTGATTTCTCTTTTTATTTTCAGTTTGTGAAATAATCTGATTCTTTATAAACATATTAACACGACGGATTGAATCATCCGTCACATCTGCATACAGACATGAACTGTTTTTATGAATCCGTTTCTGATGATCCGCAGAAACATCCTGATCTCAGATCAGATTAAACACAACAATCTGCAGGAGGAACCGGACACTTCGGAGGAAACAAGCCGGCTCAGAAGAAGACAGACGGGTCTGACGTAGTCCTGCAGCTCTACATCAGACTTTGTGTAAACAAAAAGAATCAGAATCAAACGTGTGTCCTGATGTTTGTCCGAGTGTTCAGTAACCTTGACGCGTCCCCTCAGATCTCAGAGTCGACCGGATCCACAGGCAGCCTGATGAACTCGTCTGAGGCGACTCCAGAGAGAGAGAGTGGTTCAGACTACATGTGTCACACTGAGGACTTTCTTATATAAATAAAAATATATTTATGTCGCCATTGATTGATTTCTATATGTAGTCGTCGTCCACAGGTTCTCCAGGTGTGTCACAGTGATGGAGGAAGAGCACCACCACCCTCTGAAACACTCCTCTCTTGCTCTGTCGGCGCTCTGAGATCTCTTCCCCGATCGTCTCCATGCAGATATCAGCCGACAGCTGACCTTTACGCCGCGGGGCGTAGATGGTGGCTGAGGAAAAACATCATTTATGAAGTATTGATTGATGGATGTTGAATGATGTGACGATTGTTTTATTGACTGTTGTCTGGACTGCACTCACTGCTTTCATCGTCCTCAAAGTCGTAGCGGGCATAGCTGTTGGGCTCAGCGGCTCTCAGAGTCCTCAGCCAGGGGAAGTCTGTGACCATGCTGTAGGGGGCGCCGTCCACCACCCCTGAACCATATAAACAACAGTTATTACAGAGTGTTTGACTGTAATTTAGTAATGTGTGTTATTGTGTATCGATTTGTGACTGTTACCCTCCAGTGTGTAGATGTCTCTGCCCCAGGGATATCTGGGAAACTTTTTGACGTCCTCCTCGGTCCTGGTGGCTTCTGGGAAAAACTCGTACTTTATCAACTCTCTGCGGACAGACAGGTGTGATTATTGATCACCTTTGACCAATCAGAGAGCAGATCACAGTGGACCGTTTACAGCCGAGCATCTCTGTCATTAATGTTGAAACATGTGATAATAATCATAAGTATTCGATCAGAGTAAACAGGCTACATCTGTTACCCTCACACATATTTGAATTCTGACACATCAACAACTGTCCAACCACCACCACACCAGCTATCACCATGGTAACGGCACACTGTGGGATGTCACTCACTGGCTGATGTTGGCGATTGTGTCCATCCAGCTGCGGATTCGAACCTTGTTTCGGATGTTTGGAGGGTTACTGAACTCATGGACTAAAGCTATGTGGTACGGATATGGACCCTGAAACAACTGACGCTCCAGGGCGACCGAGTCCACCTGAGCAAGCGAGAGAGAAAGAGCGAGAGAGAGGTAAGTGTAAACATGTTAAACATTACTCAGAGATCATGATAATAAAACAACGTTTGGACTGAAAACAAACATAAACTGGACTTCCTGTTGCATTTTCACAATCAAAGAAAAGCAGATTTCCATCCACATCGGTTTCCGTGGCAACAGATGAGCTCACAGGTGACCCACCTGGTGCATTGGGCGCATGTAGATGATGCGGTTCCTCTCAGGAGGCATCCTGAGGATCTGATCCAGGACCTGCTCCATGTCCAGCTTCTTACACTGAGCGTAGTCGAACCGGTTCACGATGGGGGCGCTCTCTACTTTCAGCTGCTTCAACACACGACACCTGGTGGCTACACACACACACGATGTAAACTTAAACTGGTCTTATCTCAGCTCAAAGCTGGATGACAGAGTACATTATGTTGAACAACATGTTGTCAACAAGTTAGTCTGACTGAAATCGTTCTAGGTTGAATTTCTCACTAACACACCTAAATAATGCCGTTTGGTGTCGATGTAATCTTGCATGTATACACCTTAATTTACTTCCTGCACATGCACCACAGTTCCTGCACTGAGATTCCCCTTGGAGTATCACCTTAAGCACGAGGGATCTCCTTCACGTGCGTCTCATAGTGTAGAATATGTACAATACAACCACTTCTGCACTTCTTAAAAGTTAACAGACGGTCCAATCGTAACAAGCTGAACAGGACGTATCACCACCTGCAGTAGTGGAGTCAGACATACTTCCATCAATACACCGCTCTCCCCGGTGCTTGTTTACTGACATACTGAGCTGAATCCAGCTGTAAACAGGAAATGGACTTGAGCTTGTATATTTATTTTCTAGTCTTCAGACTACTCAAGGCTCTTTCACACCGCAGGTCACACCTACACATTCACACTGATGGTAGAGGCTGCTGAGTAGTATCATCCATCAGAAGTAACTAATCCATTCATACACCGCCGACAAAGCAGCGGGAGCAGAGCAAGGTTAAGTGTCTTGCCCAAGGACACATCGGACACACACACAGAAGAAGAGGTGTTACCGTGGATGAACATCATCTTGGGGCAGTCTCTGAGGACCAGGTCAGTGATCCCACAGTTAGTCAGAGTGATGCCCACCAGGTTCTTACTCTTCAGAGACAGAACCTGCAGCACAGGAAAAAAAAACAAAAAAACATTTAGAGTGTCATAGATTCACACAAAGTACACAATCAGCACACAACACATCCTGACATCAGTCTACTAAAACTTCTCTCTGAAACTCTGAAAGATGGACAACAGTCTCCACCTCACCCTGTTGCACTTAAGCCATAATACCCTTGTGATCGTTTAGAGCCAGGGTGGCGCAGGAGAGACCGATGCCAGGGGTTTTGATTCCATGCCACTCTTAACTGAACAAAACACAATTAAACTTACCAAAGAAACTTCAAAGTGCTCACAGAACAGATTCTTATGTCAGTCTGAAGCATACACTCAGAGTTAGGGAAAGTACAATGACTCTTCTCGTTTCTTTCTTCTCTAATCTGATGATCTATCTCAGCGGAGGAGCCTCATTTGTCAACAGAGCTGTCAATCATGTTGTTTTACCGCTTTTATATGACAAATTAATTTCTCTGAGAAACAATGCCTTGAAAACAAATCAGTGTGATAACTATCATATCAGAAGGATGTTTGAAAAAAAATGTATTTTGATTGTAAAGTTTCTCCCGTGTCCCATCTGTTAATATGGAGGGGACGGAGTCTTTGATCTATACTGCAGCCTGTCTGCTCGGGGAGCTGAGAGCAGGTCTTTAAGAGATTTCTTTTAACAGCCGACGATACAAACAGACACATCAGACTGTAATGATGATTGCAGAGTTTACCTGTACGTGGTCGTCCTCGGTTACAGGGTCTGACGTGCTCGTTGATTTGTCAGACATTCGTTTCCTCCTCACCGACACTCGAGGCTTGGACCTGCTCAGATCTACACAACATGAAGAGAAAAACAACTATTTAAACTATTAAAAAACAAGAAAGTGTTTCCTATTTAACTTCTGCACACAAGAGTAAACGGAGCAGGACGCATTCAATGACATCATCAGTCACGTGACAACTTAAAAAAAGGTTTCACATAAAGAGAAACCACATGTGAATAGTTATCTCAAACTTTTTTTTCAGCCCAACCCTAACAACGGGCCGCTAACAAGAGAGCGCTAACATCTGGCTGTTTACCAGAAAGTCGTAACTCCAGGCCGCTAACAAGAGAGCGCTAACATCTGGCTGTTTACCAGAAAGTCGTAACTCCAGGCCGCTAACAAGAGAGCGCTAACATCTGGCTGTTTACCAGAAAGTCGTAACTCCAGGCCGCTAACAAGAGGGCACTAACATCTGGCGGCTGTGGCTCAGTCGGTAGAGTTGTCGTCATTAAACCAGAAGGTCGAGGGTTCGATCCCCCGCTGGGAACATGTCCGATGTGTCCTTGGGCAAGACACCTAACCCTGAATTGCTCCCGCTGCTTTAGTGGCGGTGTATGAATGGGAATAATTACTCCTGATAGATGATACTACATAGAGATTATCACTACCATCAGTGTGTGAATGTGTAGGTGTATAAAAGCGCTTTGAGTAGTGAGAAGATTAGAAACTCTAGCAGTTTCAGAAGATTAGAAATGCGCTATATAAGCTCAAGTCCATTCACCATTTACCTGGCCGCTGACACCTGGCTCTTTACCAGAGAGCCGTAACATCAGGCCGCTAACACAAAACACTGAACACAAGACTGTTGACAATAGTTCACTTCCATGAAGAACCTGTACCATCAAGAGAACACAAGACCACAAGAATATGTAATTTTTTTTAGAATTGCTAGAGTGAGTGTGTTACCATGAGACTATTAACATAAGGGGCCTTTCTCAAATGACTCCCTATACACACTTCATGTGGAGGGTACGCCACACAGGTATGTTAAAAACCTCAGTGTGTGGAGTGAGATATAAAGTCAGATACTGACTTACTGAACAGGTGTAACACCTTTTGTTGTTCATCATGGGAGATGCTCTGTTCATGTTGAAGTTCGGCGTTATTCCCTGCACAAACTGACACACCTCTAACTAAGACGAAAATAGTAGAATCGTACAGATGGTAATTAAAGTTAATACCCTCATCTAGTCTTGGAAATGCTAATCAGTGTATTTTACATGTGTTTTACATTTTTTGGGGTTTTCAAAAAGTAAACATCTTATGAACATCAGAATGAAATGATAAGATGCATAAAAAAATATGGCACCAAATATGTTTCTCACATTGTGGAGTGATTATAGTTAGGGCCCGACCGATATGGAATTTTTGGGGCAATATATTTATATTATCATATTAATATATATATATATATATATATATATATATATATTATACCGATATATTTCTGCCGATATCTTTCATAGATCTATATTCAATCTGTAGAGGTAGATAACAAGTGAGCTAACACGTCTGACCTAACACAAGTGAGCTAACACAAGTGAGCTAACACAAGTGAGCTAACACAAGAAGCTAACATGAGTGAGCTAACACGTCTGAGCTAACACAAGTGAGCTAACACGTCTGAGCTAACACAAGTGAGCTAACACGTCTGCGCTAACACAAGTGAGCTAACACGTCTGAGCTAACACAAGTGAGCTAACACAAGTGAGCTAACACGGGTGAGCTAACACAAGAAGCTTACATGAGTGAGCTAACACAAGTGAGCTAACACAACTGAGCTAACACAAGTGAGCTAACACAGGTGAGCTAACACAAGAAGCTTACATGAGTGAGCTAACACAAGTGAGCTAACACGGGTGAGCTAACACAAGTGAGCTAACACAAGAAGCTAACACAAGTGAGCTAACACAAGTGAGCTAACACGGGTGAGCTAACACGGGTGAGCTAACACGGGTGAGCTAACACAAGAAGCTATAACATGAGTGAGCTAACACAAGTGAGCTAACACGGGTGAGCTAACACGGGTGAGCTAACACAAGAAGCTAACATGTGCGAGCTAACACGAGTAAGCTAACATGAGTGAGTTAACACAAGTGAGCTAACACGAGTGAATTAACACAAGTGAGCTAACACGAGTAAGCTAACACAAGTGAGCTAACACGAGTGAATTAACACAAGTGAGCTAACACGAGTAAGCTAACACGAGTACGCTAACACGAGACAGCTAACATGCTCAGATGTCACCTGGGTTTGTTGGTCTCACCTGTCTCTGGTAGAAGGCACACAGACGACATTCTGCTGCAGGATCTAGTCAGAGGTCTTCTGGGAACAAAGTCCCGGTCACTGTCTGGACCTTGCAGTACTCCTGATCCAGCAGTAGGTGGCCTATCACCTGGTCTCCTGGGAGCTCCTCTGGGTACAGGACTATCAGCAGCAGTAGGAGCTGATCTCTGCCCCTCCTCAGCAACAGGTGGGCCGTCTAGGCCCTCAGAAGTCCTGGTTCCTGTGGACCGGTCTGTGGTTGTGGTTCCTCTGTGGGCGTTCCCCCCCACCATACCAGGTCCCGTCCTGCCCACAGACCCATATACTGGTCGCACCCCAGTCCTAACTGCTGTCCCAGTACTCCCAGTGCCCCGAGCTGGTCCTGAGTCAGCCCCAGGTCGGGAGGGGGTCTCCCCAAGTTCCGTACTGACCCCTTTACTGCTGGTCCTCCTGCTGGTCTCAGCTGCAGCCTTCATGTCAGCTTTGATCTGCTCACTGCTGACCTGACAGCTCTTCTCACAGCTGCCTCCACACACCTGAGCCCTGACCTTGTCCCCCAATTGGGCCCCCGAGACACCCACAGGTACTGAAAGCCCTGCAGGTACCGAGACCCTTGCAGACACTGAGACTGTTGCAGGTACTGAGACCCCTGCAGGTGCAGAGTCCCCTTTAGGTGCCAAGACCCCCGTAGGTACTGAAGCCCCGGCAGTTGCAGAGACTCCAGCAGTTGCAGAATCTGCCACAGGTGCTGAAACAGTGGCGCTCCGCCGCAGAGGGGTTTTTCCTTTACCTGTAACACGCACACATTGACATGTCACACTCATGCTCATTGTAAAAACTACAATCTAGCTAGGATGGACTACAAAGAAAGCATCTTTCACACTGTGTGTAACCGTGTTTTTTGACGGCTTTATAATCGGTTATTAAACTGTATTAAAGAAGTAAAATGGTCGTCTGTTATGTTTATCGGAAATCATTTCTATCTTGTACCTCATTAATCATCGCTGTGAAATGATTAACTTGAGTGATTAACAGTTGTACCCGATTAATCGTATTTTTATTTGGGTGCTTGAATTCCATAATTTTGCATTTGAAAACATTTTTTTATTTTGTATTTTGTTCAGTCTCAAGCGTAGGGTAGTTTACTTCCCGTTATTTATGGATAAATACCTCTGAGTTTTTTCACATGGTTTTAAAGTTATTTGAAGGAAAGCAGCAGTGTAACTTTCCAACACTGCGGCTGCAGGAACATGCTGCGGTGGCTTTATTATGGTGCGTCGAAGGGGGCAAAATAACGCGATTTAAAAAAGCTGTTGCAAAATTGCTTTAATTCATGACCTTAACCACATCTCAATCAAAACTTCAACACTGACAGCCCCACTCTTCACTGGCATTGTGTCACAATCCACTATATAAGTTTGTTAAGCACTGTCGACTCGGTCAGGTCAAAAAGCTCCAGCGATTGCGACACTTGTAGTATGAAGATCAACTTTATTAATAAATTTGACCAACGCGTTTTGGCTTGTGGCCTTCATCAGGGTCATCAAGAAACACATTGCAGACATAATTTAAATGTGTTGGATATACATCCACGTATACATATCAGCCAATGAGGTGCCTGTAAAAGTGGGCTGGTTAGATTTGTTGGTTAGACCAATGAGTATTGATGGGAGGTGAAGGGTCAATAGGTTGGAATCAACCATAGACTGTCAATATTAATCTGTTCCTGCAGGGGGCTCTGGAGGCTCATCAGCAGCAGTCTCCATGTTGGAAATCCTGTCTCAGTCTAACTTTCAGTAAACCTAACAACATGCTGAGAGCTGGAGCTGAGGCGGGTTTTAAGCCTCCTGATAAACTGTTACATCACGCACACCTGTCAATCAGGTCAGCTACGTGTCTAACTATGGATAACATGTATCATTCATAAAATCAAAACAAAGCCATTTTAATAAAATTCACGCCCTGTACAGTGTGTGTTCATGATGACAATAATTAATCAGACCTATTTTGTTTTGTGTACCAGGCTGTTTATTTATGATGTAAAAACATATTTTTTGCCTGTCATGTGTATGTGACTTCCTGTGTTCCTGCAGCCAGCCTCAAGCAGACTCTTGACAAACTGCAGGATATTGCACTTCCTCATAGGCTTCATTTTTCAACATTGGAGGTGGTTGCCGCTTGTCTTTGCAATTTGTTAATAAACTTGATCTTCATACTACATAGTGCTGCTGGAGCTTTTTGACCTCTTCAAGCCTTTCACTCCTTGGTAGTGGGTGAAGTTGTGCCAGAAAATGCCACTCTGCTTCTTGAACACTGTTCACTTCAAACACTCATATGGATAATTATTCATCTTTATGATAGGTTTTTACAACTTAATGTTTCAGCTGTTAACATCTTTAAGGACATCAAAACAGCGCAGTTTTGAATTTTAAACCACACTAATCTGTTAGACCGGAAAGTAGTGGTTCAATAACAGGTTGAAATATTGATTCATTAATTATTCAAAGGTTGGAATAGATAACATCTAAATAACCAAAGGTGAAGTTGTCACATTTAGAAAATAGCTGCTCACCCTCCTCTCGTATTCATACACATGAATCATACATTTGATTTAATGAAAATGTTTCATCCTGTGAAGATGGCATTTTAATCTACGAGTGAGTAGAACAACCGAGAGGTTCATCAGTTAAAAGGCTTTGTGATTTTTTGATCCAGCAGATGTCGCCCTTGAGCACCAGCATGAAACCAAAACAACTCGTGCTGCATTGTTGTGTTAGCATGCTAATGCTAGCGATCTTTATTATGCTCGTATCTTCACACTGCATGTAAATTTACCTGAAATGAGCGTGATCTAGAAACACAGTTAAGCAGTGAGTACAGTATGTTATTCTTCTTTTCTCTAGTCCCTCAATTAAACAACTTTTATACACGAGGGGAGGAGTCAGCCGGCCGTCCGGGCGATGTAAACAAACTGAAGATAGGACTCTGAAAACTCTGAAAACATCACAGACAGTGGGACTCGGGTGTTACACCCATTGTAGACAGTCATGACTCACAGAGTTATTTTCAGAGGATATACTTGATTTCTATTACATTTAAGTGTGAAAAATCACATATAAAGCCTTTAAACATAGATGCTGCAACTGTGTGTGTGTGTGTGTGTGTGTGTGAGGAATTCATCCTCAGCCCCTTTGATTCTGTCTCACACCTTCTGTACGGGATGTCTGCTGCTGCAAACTTGAAGCTGGCATCAGCCGAGACATTAGGCCCTCCTCCTCCTCACTGTCTGAGTCCGAGATGGCGAGGGGGGCTTTAGGGGTGGAGTCATGAGGGGGTCTGTTCTGCTTGACTAAACCGCTTGGACCTGCAGGAGAGATTTTCACTAATCAGAAAATGCAGGTTTTTTTTAATCGAATCATATGTGTGGTGTGTGTGTGTGTGTGTGTGTGTGTGTGTGTGTGTGTGTGTGTGTGTGTGTGTGTGTGTGTGTGTGTGTGTGTGTGTGTGTGTGTGTGTGTGTGTGTGTGGACCTGCTTGCTCCTCGTCTGGAGGTTTTGCCGTGTCAGCTGGGCGACTTGGACCTGGAGACTCGTCAGCTGCTTCTTGTACCTCCTCCTGTTTTGCTCCTTTCCGCTCCCTCTGAGGCTCCACCTCCATGTTCTCCTCTTCCAGCATCACCTCCTCCTCCTCCTCGTCTTCCTCCATCCCGTTCACCTCTACTGCTGCTCAAACACACAAACGGTCAGGAAACGAAGGGGGGCGGAGCTTCTGCTATTCACTGCAACTAACTGGTGGAGCACTAAATCGAGCTCCCTGAGCTGCCAGGTGAACATTACTCACCATGTTGCTGCTGTCTCTGGTTGTTGTTGTTGACATTGTTGATGTTGTTGTTGTTATTGTTGTTGACAACAGGCGGAGCAGCAGGAGGTAGGTTGGCCTCATTGTGATGATGGTTGTTGTTGTTGTTGTCATTGTCGTTGTTTGAGTTTTGGTTGCTGACCAGAGCTGAGGACACACCGATACCTGTACCTGCACTCAGCCCCACCCTGGCGCAGCCCTGACACACACACACACGCACACAAAACCTTCATTAATACACATCTCACGCAAATAACAAATGTGCCAACAGCATGGATCAGAAGATGTGTGTGCGTCTTCGTGTGTACCTTGGGGGGTTCCCTGAACATCTGGTCCAGACAGATGAACTCAAGACTGGGCAGGGACTCTATGAACTGGGAGAAGGATTCCAGTTTGATGGCATGACAGCGAACCAGAGTGAGGTCAACCAGCCGGCTCCACCTGGACTGATCTGAGAACAGACACGTTAACAAACAGTCAATCAACACTCACACACACATTAAGATCAATAACCACGCCATCCAGTCCACTGACACGTGTGACTGAAGCCAGGTGTGCTACCTGTGATCCAGTGGTGAGGGTTGTGCAGGTGAGGGCAGTTGTAGATGAGCAGGTATTTGATATTTGTGAACACCTCATTCACCACCTTGATGCCGATGTCGGTGATGATTCCCGGGTTCTCAATGACGTCAGCCAGACCGTACTTCACGAGCTCAGAGTGACTCATCTTACCTGCAGACACAGAACCATAAAACATCTTCACATCAGTTTCTACAGTTTTTCTACCAAAAAAAAAGCTGAACTAGTTTGGGACACGATAAAGATTCATCACATCACTCCATGACTCAGCAGGGTTACTCAAACAGAAGCGTCTTATTGGCTCTCTGTGGCTGCAGGATGAGAGATCCCAAGGAGTCCCACAGCAAGATCTGGGTCTCCTGGTGGTCAGACCTCCCAGGTAAACCTCCAAACAGAGGCCCTAAGGAGGATCCTGATCCCATGTTGAACAACCTCAACTGGCTACATTCAACGTGAAGAAGAGTAGTGTTTCAACTCGGCGCTCCTCACCCTGCAGAGGAAACTTTCAGCTGCTCGATCACTACCCAAAGCTAATGACCACAGGTGAGGGTTGGACTGCGGATCGACTGGCAAATTGAAATCTTTGCCTTCAAGCTAAGCTCCTTCTGGAACAAGATAGTCTGGTACAAGACTTGCATCACTGCAGATGCTGCAGCGACCCGTATGTCAATCTCAGGATCCATTTGACCCTCCGTCGGTAACAAAACCCTGAGATACTTCAACTTCTTTCACTCGAGGCAGAGACTCCCTCCTCCACTGGTTTCCAGCAGAGAACCATTGACTCAGAGTTGCTGCTTCTTATCCAAACTGATTAGAACTCAAATCGTCTCAAAGCTTGTTGGAGGTCCCAGTCTGAGGACGCCAACAGAACCACATCATCTGCAAAAAGCTGAGATCACATCTTGAGGCACCCAAACTAAAAACCCTACTCCTTCTAGCAGGGAGGCCACCCTGAACCCAGAGGACCCCTCTCCCCACCTCCACCACACAATTTCTGTCGTTGTAGGGACAGACAGTAAAGTTTATCTATATATTATTCTATCTTATTCCTGCAGAGAAACTTGCCTCCGACTCAGTGGTGCTGACTCTCATCCTGACAG